TACAAGGAACTTTATGGGAACTAAAAAAAAACTTAGTGGGAACTGTGTCAGCATGAAAAAGGACACTACGAATAAGAACCAAGTGGAAATGAAGACTACAATATCTAAAATGAAGAAGATACTAGAAGGAATTAAATGCAGGCCAGATGAAGCAAAGGATCAAATCAGTGAGTTGGAAGACAAGGTAGAAAAAAACATGCAGTCAGAGCAACAAAGTGAAAAAAAGACTTAAAAAGAACAAGGATAGTTTAAGGCAGCTTTGGGGCAACATAATATGTAGCAATATTCACATCGTAGGGATACCAGAAGGAGAAGAAAAGGAGCAAGAGATAGAAAACCTGTTTGAAAAAATAATAACAGAAAACTTCCCTAACTTGGTAAAGGAAAAAGTCATGCAAGTTCAGTAAGTACAGAGAGTCCCAACCAAGATGAATCCAAAGAGGCCCACTCCAATACACACCACAGTTAAAATGGCAAAATCTAAAGACAAAGAGAGAATCTTAAAGGAAGCAAGGGAGAAACAGCCAGTAACATACAAGGGAACTCCAATAAGACTATCAGCTGATTTCTCAACAGAAATAGTACAAGCCAAAAGGGACCGGCACAATGTATTCCAAGTAATGAAAAGCAAGGACCTGCAACCAAGAACATTCTATCCAGCAAGACTCTCATTTAAAATGGAAAATAAAAAAGAGCTTCACAGTTAAATTTTTTTAAAAAGGCAAAGGAGTACATCTCTATCAAACTAGCATTACAAGAGATACTAAAGGAACTGCTTTAAGAAGAAGAAAAAAATAGAGAGGAATGCAGGTACAAAGGGTAAAAATGGCAATGAATAAGTACCCATCAATAATAACCTTAAGCCCTGGCTGGTGTGGCTCAGTCAACTGAGCCTCAGACTGTGAACCAAAGAATCACAGGTTTGATTCCCAGTCAGGGCACATGAGGGGCAACCACACATTGACGTTTCTCTCCCTCTCCTTCTCCTTCCCTTCCTCTCTCTCTAAAAATAAATAAATAAATAAATAAATAAATCTTTAAAAAATAATAATAACCTTAAATGTAAATGGATTAAATGCTCCGATTAAAAGACATAGGGTAGTTGAATGGATAAGAAAACATGGCCCACATATATGTTGTGTACAAGAGACACACCTGAGAACAAAAGATTTACACAGGCTGTAAGTGAAGGGATGAAAAAAAAAATTCCATGCAAATGGACATGATTAAAAAACCTGGGGTAGCAATAATTATATCAGACAAAACAGACTTCAAAACAAGGGCCATAACAAGAGACAAAGAAAGTCACTACATAATACTTAAGAGGACAGTCCAACAAGAGGATATAACCTTTGTAAACATGTATGCACCCAATATAGGAGCAACTAAATATATAAAGAAAATCTTGGAGGACTTTAAAAAAGAGATCAACAGCAATCAGTCATTGTGGGGGATATTAACACCCCACTGTCAACAATGAATAGATCTTCTAGACAAAAAAGTCAACAAGGATAAATCAGCCTTAAACGACACTCTAGATCAAATGGACTTAATTGATATTTACAGAATGCTGCGTTGACAAGAAGCAAAATAAACATTCTTATTAAACACACATGGATCATTTTCAAAGCTGGACCACATGGTAGGACATAAAACAAGCCTTAAAAATTTCAAGAAAATTGAAATCATATCAAGCATCTTCTCGGACCACAATGGCTTGAGACTTGAAACCAAACTCAAGGAAAAAGCTCAGAAACATTCAAATATATGGACGCTGAATAACATGCTATTAAATAATGAATGGGTTAACAATGAGATCAAGGAGGAAATCAAAAAGTACCGGGAAACAAATGAAAACAAACTTACCACAACCCAAAACCTATGGGACACCAGCAAAAGCAATTCTGAAGGGGGAGGTTAATAGAATTATAGCCCTACCTAAAGAAGATAGAAAAATCTCAAATAAACTTAGCCCTCCAACTAAAAGAACTAGAGGAAGAAGAACAAACACTCAGTGTGAATAGAATGAAGAAAATAATCAAGACCAGAGCAGAAATAAATGACATAGACTAAAAAATCAATTAAAAAAAATCAATGAATCCAAGAGCTGGTTCTTGGAAAAGATAAACAAAACTGACAAGACTTTAACCAAACTAATCAAGAAAATGAGAAGACCCATAGAAATAAAATCAGAAATGAAAGAGGAAAAGTAACAACTGATACCACAGAAATACAAAGTATTTTAAGAAATTACTATGAACAACATATACCAAGAAATTGGACAATCTGAGCAAAATGGATAAATTTCTAGAAACATATAATCTCCCAAAACTGAATCAGGAAGAAGAAGAAAACCTGAATAGATTGATAACAGCTATCAAAATTGAAGCAGTAATCAAAAAACACCCAGCATACAAAAGCCCTGGACCAGATGGCTTCACAGGCAAACTTTACCAAACATTAAAAGAAGAACACACACCTATCCTTCTCAAACTGTTCCAACTGATTCAAGAAGAGGGAAAACTCCCAAACTCTTTTTATGAGGACAGTATTATCCTAATTCCAAAACCAGATACAGACACTTTTTACAAAGAAATAAAATTACAGGCCAATATCTCTGATGAACATAGGTGATAAAATCCTCAACAAAATATTAGCAAACCAGATCCTGCAATACCTTAAAAAGGTCATACCCCATGATCAAGTGGGATTATATTCTAGGGATGCAAGGAAGGTACAATATTCGCAAATCAATAAATGTGATACATCACATAAACAAAATGAAAGACAAAAATCACATGATCCTATCAGTAGATGCAGAAAAAACATTTGATAAAATAGCACCCATTTATAAAAAAAACACTCAGGAAAACAGGAATAGAGGGAGCATACCTAAACATAATAAACACCACATACAAAAAATCTATTGCCAACATCATACTTACTGGGTAAAAATTAAAAGCATTTCCCTTAAGATCAGGAACAAGACAGGGTGTCTGCTTTCACCTCTCTTATTCAACATAGTACTGGAAGTCCTATTCCAACAATCAGACAAGAAGAAATAAAAGGCATCCAAATTGGAAAGGAGGAAGTAAAACTGTCATTATTCACTGATAACATGATAGTATACAGAGAAAACCCTATAGGCTGCACCAAAAAACTACTCAACCTAATAAGTGAATTCAGCAAAGTGGCAGGATAGAAGTCGATGGCATTTTTGTACACAAACAATGAACTACCAGAAAGAGAAACTAAAAAAAAAATCCCACTTACTATAGCAACAAGAAAAATAAAGTACCTTGGAATAAATTTCACCAAGGAGGTAAAAGACCTATACCAGAATACTATAAAACAATGAAGAAAGAAATTGAGGAAGATACAAATAAATGGAAGTATATACGGTGTTCTTGGATTGGAAGAATTAACATAATTAAAATGTCCATACTACCCAAAGTGATCTATAGATTAAATGCAATTCCAATTAAAATACCAAGTGCATATTTCACAAATCTAGAACAAATACACTAAAAATTTATATAGAAACAAAAAAGACCCCAAATAGCCTCAGCAATCTTGAAAAAAGAATAAAGTTGGAGGGATCACTCCATTAAACTGTACTACAAGGCCACTTGTAGTATATTAAAGTATACTACAAGTATACTTGATATCAAACTATACTACAAGGCCACTGTAATCAAAACAGCCTGGTACTGGCATAAGAACAGACACAGAGATCAATGGAACAGAATAGAGAGCCCAGAAATAAATCCACGTCTTTAGTGTCAAATGATATTTGACAAGGGGGCCACAAGCACACAATGCAATAAAAACAGTCTCTTCAATAAATGGTGTTGGGAGAACTGAACTGACACATGCAAAAAATTAAACTAGACCACCAACTTATACTATACACCAAAATAAACTGAAAATGGATAAAGAGACTTAAATATGTCATGATACCATAAAAATTTTAGCAGAAAACATAGGCAGTAAATTTTCAGATATCTCACATAACAATATTCTTGCCATATAAGGATGTGTTGAAAAGGGAACTCTAGTGCACTACTGGTGGGAATGCAGACTGGTGTAGCCACTGTGGAAAACAGTACAGAATCTCCTCAAAAAATTAAAAATGGAACTGCCTTTAGACCCAGCAATTCCACTGCAGAAAATCCTGAAACACCCCATCAGAAGAATATATGCCCCCTTACATTCACTGTGGTGCTATTTACAACAGCCAAGATTTGGAAAAAGCCTAAGTGCCCATCAGTAGATGAGTGGATTAAAAAAACTGTGGTTTTTACACAATGGAATGCTACGCAGCAGAAAAAAATAAGGAATTCCTACTTTTTGGGACAGCATGGATGGAACTGCAGACTATTATGCTAAGTGAAATAAGCCAGTTGGAGAAAGACGAATACCATATGACCTCACTTATAAGAGGAATCTAATGAACAAAATAAATTAATGAGCAAAACAGAACCAAAGACAGAATCATGGAATAGACTGACAGCTGTAAGAGGGGAGCAGGGAGGTAGAAACTGAAAGAAGGTGAAGGGATTAGTCAAAGAACACATAAGAAGGACCAATGGACATAGATAACAGTGTGGGGATTGAGTATGGGAGTGGGGAGCAGGTTGGGTGAAGGTGGAAGGAGAGGGAAAAAACTGCAACAATTGTAATAGAATAAACAATAAAATATTTAAAAATATTTTATGGGAAATAGTATCTTTAAAGCAATTAACTTATAAGCTTATAAAAAATATCTGAAAGCAAAAATACTTGAAAAGCCTCAAACAACAAACAGAAAAACATCTGTCAAACACTGCATAATTTAACACAACATGAATGCAAATGCAATTAAAGATACTCTTCTTCAAAAAGGCTGTCCATATTGGTACTTGTGTAGCAGATGAATGATTCCCTGACCATTCCCACACTTTCATTGAGGACTTGCACAGGTTTATTTTTTAAATGCAATAAAATGCTATTATACTCACGAAATTGCTTCCTCTCTGTTTTCTCCCCAGGAGAAACAGTGACCAAACTGAGAATCAGCAAACTCATGAAGTCCCCCTGCAGCAGCAACACTGAAATAACCCCAGACGTTCTTATTGCTGCGGAAGTTCAGTTCCTGAACTGTTCCTGAGCTGGGCTTAAAACCCTGTTAGAGAATGAAGAATATGAGAGACCATGCTCTGTTTCTAAGGAAGAGGACATTTATATATTTATTGTTTAGGCTCTGTGTTAATCACACATAAGACAGAAATGACGCATAAAAATCATAAAGGCTTGAAAACCAATGTCCAGTGCTACTGAGGACTCGATAGTGACTGTAGTAGGATGAACTGATCGCTACAGCAGTGATCACTTCTTTGTCTGCTCTGATGGAACCTCTATAAATTTCCCTCTCCAGAGGAAGGCCCAAAATATTTCAGAAGTATAACCCTCAGGTACCATCTTAATATTTAAGTTCACAGGGGAAAAAACCTTTTAAGTGATGGGTTACCTCATCTGGATTTTCACTAGTGATCCGAGCAGCAATAACATGGCCCCTTGGACAAGGAACATGAGCAGAATTTTCAAAATCAATGGGAGCATCACCCCAGGGAGATACCCCATACATCATACGAATATCCTTGATTCTGTATAGAGGGATCCCCATGGCAATCTGAAAGGTAATAAAACATACATCACTCATTTTCACAGTACTTTCCTTAAAATGTGGAAGCTATAGATTACCTGAAAGATTTTTCATTTTAGTAGCCACCACCTAAAACATTCTATTTTTATAACCTGTATTATATAATCATTAAAGAAAAAAAAACTCTAAGTTACTTAAAACAAAACATGTCACTACAGAAGTTGCTAAATACTTTGCACTTCTAAAAAAATTCCCCATATTCCTAATGCAATACATGAGTTTCCCTCTATTGTCATTTCTCCATCAAAGGATCAGAATGAAAATATCCAAAGGAAGAGTCAATATCAGTGGCTATCCAAGTTTAGACAGCTAACTATGCTGTAACTATCTGATAATTATACCCACAAACCATTTGAGAAAATAGATAAATAGAGTAAATAACTCTTTAGTTCTTAATAGGAATCCAGCAGGGGTTCTCAATATGAGCAAAGACTATGTTAGATACAAATACTATCAAACTTCATCGTTAGCTATTTCTGACTCCCATAACATTTGTTTCCTGGGCTGAATGAGGAACATAATATTAACACTAAGCACTTTAAACATTATGAAAATAAATGGGTGAGGCCAGTGTTGCCTAGAAAAACCCCAACCACCACTCTGATGTGGAACTGCTTCAATACACAGTACTAGTAAAAGGAGAAGAGGCCAATTACAAAGTTGTAAAGTTTTGCATAATTAAAACACTTAAGTAAAGCATATTCTTTTTAAAGTTTCTATCTAAAATGACAGTTTTTACCAGACATGTCTAGCTAAGAAATAGAATAGTATTCCTAGATTCATACCACATTAGGACAAACAACCCACACATCACAACCCACATTAGCATGAGAGCTGAACACTAGATGAGACTCAGATAGGAGGCGCTCTTTTCTTATCAGACAGGTTAAACCAGTTTTTCAGGCCTCTCTGAGTTCTCTAGGCAACTCTCTGAGCCAAGATCAGGGTGATTCACCTGGAGTTGTGCTGCAGGGAGGTTGACATCAGCCACCATCTCTGTACAAGGGTGCTCCACCTGTAGCCGAGGGTTCAGTTCCAGAAAGTAGAAGCTGCCATCCTGGCTGTAAAGGTATTCTACAGTCCCCGCACTCACATAGCCAACCATTTTGGCAAGTTTCACCGCACACTCAAAGAAGAAAGATAGGAAAACATGAGTGTCTTACTTTGTCCAGCTGGTGGACTGCTGCTTATCTATATAGCCTGTCCCTGACTTAAATATCTAGTGTTTGTAAGAGCCATCGAAGGCTATTAGCCACATTAGAGTGAATTTCACCCTCAGATTATTACAGAAGATCCTAGACCAGTGTGATGAACTCAATTTAAAGCTGGAGAAAAACAGTGTTTCATTTGGGATCACAGGCAACCTCATCCTATAAGTACATGCAAGTAACAAAAAAACAGTGGCAGATTTTTCACTGTGTCCTTATTTCTAGTATTCCTAGCATTCTTCCTAAACGATGGCTGCCCAGCTAGCAACTAGATTTCCCAACCTCTCTTACAGCTGGTGACTAAGTTTTGACCAATGTGATGTTAGCATTAATAAGTGATACGCATATTTCCTGCATCATGTTTTAGAAAGAAGTGCTTATCCTCTGTTCCTCGCTGTTCCCTTCTGTGAAATGAAACACGGTCATGACAGTACCAGCCAGTTTCAGCCACACAGCTGAGAACATACTAAGAATGACAAAACAAAACACAAAGAATGTGAACCCCAACATGGCCTCACGGAGCAGAACAGTCCCACCAGCCCTAACAGCACACTTCAGATTATGATGGGAAAAATAAGCTTCTATTTTATCCAGGTAGAATTTTTTTTTACCTCTTTATTATAACAGTTTAACCTATGCTTTAATCAACATAGAAATTGTTAAGTTCAGGTAGAATCCTGCTATTTAAAAAAATTAAAGTATGTATTGTTGGCTTAGCAATAGGGTACTGGGTAGCTACAACCCAGATACTGCAGACTAGGAACCAGTGGCCTCCTTGTTAGGCATAATTAAACTTTTGCTAAACTGTGTCCTCCAATAACTTGGAACATGGACAACATACCAACTAAGCCCTAAGAAACATAGAAAAAGTCAGAATGTGAAAAATCCAACTGCTTTTGTACTCCTAAACCAGAAAATTCGATTTTCACTCTAAAGCACCCCTGTGTCAAAGATCATAAAAGAGAAAAGGTTACTACATTAAAAAATCTCAGGCTGTGGTTACTCCCACCTGAAGCTGACTAGAAGCAAAGAGTCCAGAAACGCACTAAATTTTGAAGGAACTGTAATTCTAAACAAACCACAAACCTGGCCTTCAGGAACCTATGCCTGATAATTGGAATAACCTTTGTGGCCCCAATCCTGCACCAGCAGGAGGTAAAATGTGAAAGGTTTGCCAAAGAAAGCAGTCTCCAAAGCCCAGTGACAGAGAAAACTACACAAGGAAGAACTTTCCAGAGAACAAAGCCAAGTGCTTTAAGGCGTGACAGGCAAGGGGTTTACTTTGACAGGAGAACCAGTGGCAGTCAGAGGGCTAACTGGGGTATTACTCCACCACACGGCAAAATTCCTGCCAAAAGGATTTGATAACTGCTATGGAGCAATGATTACTATATATTTTTCATTCTTCTTTTTTCCAAATGGGAGTTATCCTGTTTCTATTCCACCACTGTATATTGGGTACATGGGGAAAGGAGGAATGACAAGGGGTAGATAACTTGTCTTTTAGATCACTGGCCCATGAAAACCCACACACACATTTGATGGAAAGGAGTACATATACCTAGTGATCTTGAAGTTTGAGCTGTCTTCTTTGGGGAAGGCTGGTATATTCTAAGAGTGTGAAAAGATAATGGGTAGCCAGAAGAGGATCAGACTGAAGTACAGATTATTAACTACCTTTTAGTAGTTTTTCTTTGTGCCATCCATTTAATAGAATCTCCTAAATTTCAGCTTAGTATATGGCCTCTCAGTTAGCGACTACAATTCCTAACATCCCTTACAGGTAGGTGTGATTGTATAACTGAATTTTATCCAATGGAATGTGAGCAGAAGTGATACATGTGACTTCTAGATCACATTTTAATATGCTTGCCCTCCATGTCCTCTTCCCTCCCCCCAGGCTACAGTACGAACATACTCTTGGGAGCTAGCTTTAACATGAAAATGATGACATCCTAGGACAAGGGTTGGCAAACTTTTTTGGTAAAGGGTCAGAGAGTAATTTTTTTCAGCTTTGTAAGGCATATAGTTTCTGTCACAACTACTCAATTCGGTCATTGCAGTCATAAAGGAGCCAAAGATAATACATAAATAAATTAGCATGGCTGTATTCCAATAAAATTTTATTTGCAAAAGCCGGGGCAAGTTGGATTTAAACTGCAACCTGTAGTTTAGTGACTCCTCTCCTACTGAATGGCAGAGTAATAAATCTAGGTCCCAGGCATCAAACAGAAGACTATATATTTAGCTTATTTGGAATTCAGGAGAAAAAGGATATAGAATATATATCTCCAATAAGATGAAGACTGAGTCACAATTTCAGAAAAGACCTCTAAACTACAACTATTTCCAAGGGACCCTGCAAGACTGCTGAGATTCTTACCTAGACAAAAATACAGAATATATCAATGTTATACATATTTAAAGGACCTTTTAAAAGATAATGAATTTACACTGGCTGGTGTAGCTCAGTGAATTGAGAACCAGCCTGCAAACCAAAGGGTCTCTGGTTGGATTCCCAGTCAAGGCACATGCCTGGGTTGCAGGCCAGGCCCCCAGGTAGGGAGCACATGAGAGGCAACCACACATTAATATTTCTCTCCCTCTCTTTTTTTCCCTCCGTTCCCCTCTTTAAAAATAGATAAATAAAATCTTTTTTTAAAGAGATAATGAATTTAAATTTGTCTGAGGACTCAATGATAATCAGTCTAAAAAAATGGACTATCTGCTTATCATAATCTTGTTAAAAAATCAAATAAGATTTAAAATCTCAAAACATCTCTCTCCTTTATTCCTATTCAAAATAGTACACAGATTTTTTTCAAAAGTGTTAACTAATTTAGAGCTTGAAATGTTCACTGGCAACTCTCCTAGAGGAAAGCAGCAGAATTATTTCTACTAGAAAATAATATAATTTTATCAAAGATCCAGAATCATTGCAAGAAATTCCACTATTCTCAGCTTGGTAAGCAAAGTGAATGAGTTCTGCATAAGAAAACAAAAATTAGAGCTTTTCATATAAATACCTGCTCCATATGTTCAAATACTGCTGGAGTAGCGATAGCAGCAGGTGCCTCTTCAATAATCTTCTGATGCCTGCGCTGTACGGAGCAATCGCGACCAAACAAAGAGATAGCATTGCCATACTGATCTGCCAAGATCTGCACCTCCAGATGACGAGATTGCTTTGCTAGTCTCATCACAAATATAGGAGAGCCAGGGACTTCAGCTTGAACCTATATTAGAAGAGAAAAGAAAACAAATTTTTAAGTGGTAAGCATTTTTTTAATCCTGATACACTGCTTCAGTATCAACAGACAGATGCACAGAAGTGTCAAGAACCATGTTAATCAGGAGAAGTACAAAAGTGAATAAAGTTCATATCCTCATCTATTTTTAAGAGACAGCATTCTCAGTTATATGATCAATATTAATTAATGAATATGAAAAAACATATGAACACATTTAATGTGTTACAAGGGTAAAGAACAAAACTTTTTGAAAACACACACACACATATTCCACAAAAGGGCAAAGGACTACCGTCAATTACCAGCAGCCAAATGTACAACCTGCTCCAGACTAGATGCTCTTCTGTTCACATTAGGGCTATGGCACATATATGGTATTGCTGTAGTCAGAGAACTTTCACTTGCAATTTTGAAGTACATTGTCACTGGACACAGAATTCCATGCTAGCAATTATTTTCTTCCACTGTTTCTACTGAGATGCCAGATATCCATCTTACTGTTATCCTTTGAAAGTAATCTTTTTTTCCAGCTGCTTTAAGATTTTCTCTTTCATTCTCTATTTTTATGGGATAAAGTGGCAGATTCACTCAGATAAGCTTAAACGTAGTTTTCTCTGCATTTGTCCTGTGGGGCTCATAGTGTTTTTGAATCTGTGCTTGGTGTCTTTTATCAATGCAGGAAAATTTTTAGCTATCATCTCTTCAACAATTGCCTCTGTTCCATTCTCTCTCTTTTCCTCTGAGACTCAAAGTATAAAACATTAAATAATTTCACTATATCCCATATGTCTATTATGCTGTGTTTTGCTATAAAACAAGTCATCCCAAGACACAGCAGCTTGCTTAGAATGTCAACCATTTTCTTTGATCATGATGCTGTGCTCATCTGGGAAGTTCTTGCCTGGGATCACGCATGTGCATATCATCATCTGCTGGCTCACGTGGAGCTGAATGGACTCACTCAAATGGCTGATGACTTGTGTGATGGTTTGCTGGTAGGTCTTGGGAGCCTTGACTGGAACAACTGATTTCTACTGCAAGTAGCTCCCTATCTTCCAATAAGCCAGAAAGCCTTCTTCAATTCCACTTTTCAACCCAGTGTTCCAAGAGGATGGGGGCACAAGTTACAAGTCTTCACTAGCTCTAGGCTCTAGAACTTAAATACAATCACGCTGACTCATCTCTCTTTTGTAATTCCTTAGCATAAGTGACCAGATGCATTCAACAGATATTTTCAATACTTTGTCTATGAGATCTCCTTCACGAAGTTCATGAGTTCATTAAATACACTCTCTATCTTCCAGTTTACCTCAGGCAATTGTTCCATCATTATAGACCATGAGTTACCTTTTCTCCAGACTCTAATAATAATTACTACAATTACTGCCTTTCCAGCTTCCACTAACAGTATGTTCACTATTCTCCCAACATTTATTAACAACCTTCTCACCATTTTTCTAGCCTCTACCTTTGAGCCAGCATGAAAGCCAATGCCACATATTTTACTTTTTTTCTTATGACAGAATCACACCTCATATAATTTCTGTATTAGTTATCCATTAATGCCTAACAAACCACCCAAAATTCAGTGACTTAGGACACTGACCACAAATTTGGTGACTGAGGACACTACCTGCACTGGACTCAATAAGGCAATGCTGCTGATCTTGGCCTGGAGCCACTCATGCAGCCGTAGTCATTTGGCAACTTGAATGGCATCAGATGGTCTAATACGGCCTCACTCATACATCTCAAATGTTGCAGTGACTGTCAGCAAGTAGGTCTAGGGAACCTCAGCCGGACAGCTAATCTCCATTTCATGTGGCCTCTCTTTCTCCAGAAGGTTAGACTGGGCTCTTCACATGGCAGTCTGGGGCTCATTCCCAAGGGCAGAAACTACAAGACAACTTGAGGTTTGCTTTGAAACCTATATGCCATTTCTGCCATATTCCATTGGTCAAAACAAGCCGTAAGGTCAGCCAAAATTCAAAAGGTGGGAAAAGAGAATTAGAGTGTAAAGGGATATGTATATATGGATGAGAGGAGTTACTACATGTTCTTTTCTGTATTTTCCATGTTTTACCTCTTCATGCTTCAGTCTGAATTGTCTTCTGACCTATCTTCCAGTCACTAATTCTTTCTACAACTGCATCTAATATACTGTTAAATTCCTCTTTTGACTTCTTAATTTTACTCACTGCATTTTCTGTTACAGAATTTTTATTTCTTTCTCCTTTATGGTTTCCAGTTCTCTGCCAAAATTCTCAATCTTGTCTCTAATTTTCTTGACTTCATTAAGTAGCTACTTTAAAGTCCTTGTTGGGTAGATCTATTATCTAAACCTTCTGTGGGTCTGTTTCTACTGACTTTATTTTTCTTGACTGTTAATCATGTAATTTAATATGTTGCTCATTCTCAATACACTGCTTAATATTGCACTTGAAAAATTAACAGAAATAATTTGAGGTTCTGGATGTTATTTTTCTTTGGAGAGAATTTGTATTTGCTCCCTGTTGGTGGCTAAGGACACTAGCAATCCTAGAATACCTTGCTTGAATCAAGGTTTCAGTGTTTTGAAGTTGAGATTTAATCTCTGTGAAGGCTGATTTATGCCTAATTCATTCCTACTTTAAAAAAAAAGACTTTTATATATTTATTTTTAGAGGGGAAAGGAGGGAGAAAGAAAGGGAGAGAAACATCAATGTGTGGCTGCCTCTCACATGCCCTACCTTGAGGATCTGGCCCACAACCCAGGCATGTGCCCCAACTGGGAATCGAACCAGCAGCCCTTTGCTTCACAGGCCAGTGCTCAATCCACAGAGCTATATCAGCCAGGGCTCATTCTTACTTTTGAGATATAGTTCCTTCAAGATCCCAACCTAAAATGTGAGAGGTTTTCCAGGGCACCCTACTCAGCAAGTCCTAAAATCTAAATTTTATTCTTTAAGTCTTATTAAAAACTCTAGTCAGCTTTTCAACTACTTCTTTCCAAACTAGATGATATCTCTAGAGAAAGAGTGGCTTCAAATGCCAGGCTCACCTCTTTGGGTTTTCTTATATCTTAGCCCATAATTCTTCACTGCCTTGAAAGGTTTCCAATGCCTTATCATGGAGTTTTTTTAAAAATTTAGTCCAGCTTTTCTAATTTGTTCTCAATGGGAGAACTGATTTCAGTTGTTTAGTTAATCATTATTGGAACTTCAAGACTCACATAATATTTCCCAACCTTAGTGTTCTAGTTTCTTCAACTATTTATTTCCATAGTAATAAGTAGTTTTGAAATATCTACAGGAGTTAACATTTCTAAAAATGAACATGCTTTTTCTTTTGCTTCTGAAAGCAAAAGATATTTTCTTTACACTCCATAAGGCAGTGAAATACCTATGAAATTGGAATTATTATAGAAGGTATGTAAAGAAAAAGACAAGTAATATTCCAATTCTGACATTCAGTAAGATAATGTAGCAAACAATATCTTGATCACTTTCTTTATTTGAGTATATCAAATCATGGAAGACCCAGTTCATAGACTTTTTCTCTAATTTAGCCCATGACAAGAAAGCTGAATGATTTAAAATTTTTTAAAATGTTGGGGGGGGGTGAATAAAAGATGGCCAAGGGTACTAGTAAAGGATGGTACAAACTAAAAGATGCTGGGTAAAATAAGAAGAAGTTAAAAGCTAGGAGAGTAAAAAGGAAGAATGTAACCCAATGTGCCTTTTACTGACATCTTTTTCTGGGTATTGGCAGGAGAAAAAAGAGTGAGTCAAGTATATGAGAGTAATTCTGAAGACCGGGAAAAGGAGACGCCTGTCTCCTAATTCTCTAGGATTCTCAAAAGAGAATATTTCTTTGGTTTCCAAAACCAGCCTTTAGTTTGGACATACCAACTGAGGTGCAACTCAGATGGGTAGGCAGAAAGAGACCCTGGGTTTAGCTTTCCTGAGCTACCCTCAGTTCTCATAGAACTTGAACCTGCCGTAGGGTTCCTGTGCCAAGGTGCGGTGGCCAGGCAGGATGGGCTCGGGTGCTAGGCCAGCAAGGTAGATAAAACACATGGCGGAAGCTCAGCAGTGAATTTGAACTAAAGTAAGGTGTTGTCAGTCAGAGAGTCTGGGCCTGACCAAGCCAAGAGCATCCAGATCAGGAGTTAACCATACCACATATGTTGTAACAACAGCAGAAAAGGGGCACAGAAATATAGAAAGGCACTGACTCTTCATTGCCACAAAAAGTCCTATGAGCCATCATACATTGAAGAGGTATCTGAAAAACTAATGACTTTTATGTAAGAGAGAATCATTCTATTTTCTGGACTTCCAAATGATACTGTGAGCTCTATTATGTGTCACTGATACACATGTTAATTCAAACAAAGACAACTTGTACTCTACCTGTCTGAAGAGGTTAGGGAAGTCATCCGCATTATTGACTTTTCTGATTCCCTTTCCTCCTCCTCCTTCTGAGGCCTTGATCATTACTGGATACCCAACTTCCTCTGCTGCCTTCAAGAAGAAAGAGAAAAATGGAAGTGAGTATGGTATTAGTAGGGAAGGAGAACACCGGCATTTTCTCTCTAAGAATGCTATCATTTGATCGGCTTATACATAGTAAAATAGAAGGGGCTTGAAGATATACTATTATGTAAAAAGAATAGAACAATATTTGTAATATTAGGTTGAACTAAGAAAAACTGCCTTTATGTTTAAGTATGATTACATATGCATTCCATACACCCACATATTTAAAAGCAAAAAATGTTGACAATATACATCAGTGGTGATTTATAGGAGAATTATGGGTAGATATAAACTTTCATTTATACTGTACATATTTCTATATTAATAGAATTTCTGATAGTATGCAAATATTCATGTTTACCCATAATTTTTATTTTGAAAAAAGACACAAGTAGCTCATTTAATATAAGCTGTATAGTTTCTGATAACATAGAAGTAAGACTCCACAAATCAGAACTCTCACATATACAGAATTTTTTTCTCATACAATCTTTTTTATAAAAGATAAAATAATCAAATAGCAAAATAAATAAAACTAGTCAGGCAAACTAATTTCCAACATATGCTCTAAATGTGCTTTTCCCATTACAGTATTTTATAATGACCAGGTGATTACCCTACAATTTTTTGAAAAATTAATTATATATCCATTAAGTAGGGAGCTGACTAAATCAAGATATACCCATATAGTTAGAATATTATACAATCATTAAAAGGAATGAAGTGGTTTTTACATTTAATGATATAGACAATGTCCAAATTATGTTAAGGTAAAAAGTAAATTGGAGGAAAATTTAACCAAAAATTTTAAATAATCAAGTCATTATTCACCAAAACATTCCAGTCTTTTCAGGTTTACATTAAAGCAATATCTAAAAAATATGTCACCAGGAAAAAAAATTTCAACTTTTAATTTGTATCAGTAGATTAAGCATGAAAATTTTTCAATCACAGCCTCATTTCTTCTAAAATTAATGTATCTATTTGTTTCTATTCTTATAAATAAAGTTAGCATGATGAGCTCAATCACTGGGTTAAGTAGAGACACACACAAATATGGAAGAGATAAAAAGTAGGATAGCCCACATGATTCAGTAAGTAAGAAGGTAGACCTTTTAAAAATATATATGGCTGTAGGCACAGCTCATTCATTTAAAATGTTAAAAGAATTTTAATGCCATCAGGAAAATGCTTGTACATGAAAAAACAAGCATTAATAAAATATATAGTAAGACCCTAAAAATAATTATGAAAATCTATTAATTAAGGTCATCATTATTAATCTACAAATTGAGAGTGGCTGGAAGAAAATAGGGGTGGTTTTATCATCTTTTTGGGGGGCTTTCCAAATTTTCTACCAGATAATTTTTTAATTCCTTTTTTACTTTTTAAAAAAGATTTCATTTATTCATGTCTAGAGAGGGGGGAAGGGATGGAGAAAAAGGGGGAGAGAAACATCCATATGTGGCAGAAACATCTATAGTTGCCTCTCGCACACCCCAGCTGGGGACCTGGCCTGCAACCCAGGCATGTGCGCTGCCCGGCAATCAAACTGGTGACCGTTCTGTTCACAGGCTGGTGTTCAGCCCACAGAGCCACACTAGCCAGGACTCTACCAGATAATTTTATATCTATAATAACCAGGTAAAAAAAAGGAATTTTAATTGATAAGCAAAATAGCTAAGCTTCTACTCTTTTGCAAATTACAGCAAATAGCATATAGCATTTGTAATTTAATTAGGAATATTAATTCTTATTAAGGACATTGCTGGATGATTAATTTAAATATAAACAATACAGTAAATTAGTTGAGCAGTCAGTGTTCCTCTTGAATTTGTAATATACAAGTCAAACACAAGTAGGGTGTTTTTCTAAAATAGTCTCTTTTCATCATCTACCTGGAGGCATATGTGGTATTTCCAACTAGTTAAAAAGTGAAAGGGGAACAAACTGGAGAGAACTATAAAGGAAAGAAAAGATTACTTTTAAGAAAGGATCTCCTTTTGTTCAGTTCATGTTTTTACATGGATGGACGATAATTATAGAGTAACACTTTCAGCCTATTATGGTTCCGTCACTCACTCTTCCCCAAGGGAAAAATGAGTCAATTACATGATTGGTCAATCTGGAAGGAGGAACTGAGTGCCCATAGCTCAGCCTCTTTCCTCTTTAGAATCAGCCCACTGCACAGAACTTATCCTCTTTGTTTGCTCTGAGTCATACAATAAGCTGAAGAGTAAAAGCTGTTGTAGAAGGAAGTCTGTGGTTTTTGAGCACCACGAGTAACTAGTGAGTGAGCCTGTTTAACTGACATTCAAGTTACAAATCTGATTGTTGCTACACACTTAAGCCATTTTCACCAACATCTCTCTATTCTTAATAAAGCTGACATATTGATCTCTATCTGCTTGGCTTCTTGGTTCTGAACTTAAGCAGGGGAAAAGTGGAGTTTTTGCTGCCCCTCTCCTCCCACATACCCACTAACAGGTGGTGGACAGGAGACTCAGTACTTCCTTGAAGCTCTGACATAACTACCTCAGAAATGTTCTAAGTGAGATGGTTGCTTCAAAAAAAATTTAAATTATTTTGTTATATGTAGGTCACTACTTCACTCTATAAACTGTATCTCCTGATCATACAAGCCTAATGCAATCATCAAACGGGCTCCAAATGGCTATATTTCTGAGCATAATTGGTCAGTTGAAAGACATGACTTCCTGGAGTTATTAACCTACCTTTAGCCCGTCATCCACATCCTTCACATAGCCTTTTTCATAGAGTTCCTGGGGAACATTTAAAATACGTTTTGAAAAATCACTTTCTTGCCAGTCCACACGAAGACCTGCAATAGATAACAGTGACTTAAATGCAGCTATAAAAGCTTCTGTTCTTGTCAATTTTCTGCTATACCTTCTTTAAAATCCTCTCATATTGAGGGTAGATGGGAGAAAGAAGGATGCCGTAACATCCTGATCAGTCCTTGGGGTTAAAGGTATTTATCTACAGCAGGACCTGACAACTCGAGTTTCCAGGAGTATAAGCAGGACTTGACACTAGAAAAATCCAAGAGAGCTAGAAGGAAGCAACTTATAAAAATGCAAGGACATACAAGACCAAAAAACGCACATCAGGCTTCTCACAGCAAACATAGCAGGCAAAATACCTTCAATTTGTGTGTTCAGGCCTGTTCCAGGGCCAGAGATCTGGGAAATAATTCAATCTTTATGAGCCCTTGGAAACGGAAATGGCCGTTTTATTGGTCTCAGCAGAGTCATGATTCCATGCTCCCTGAATGTCCCTGTACTCAGCCACAAGGGAAATGCTATAGCCTCTCCATTCAAACAAAAACAAATTCAGCCTTTTATTTTAAACTGTTTGACCCAGCAGGTCTGGAGAAGATATTACAATCCCCCTGGAGAGCTAGAGTAGCAAGAGTTCAAATCTGTTCAACCTGAAGACAATGGTCACTCCCATTTGGAAGAGGTTTCAGAGTATGTCTGCCCCTGTGCTTGAGTACTAAAAAAAAGGGGAGTTCATACTATTATCAGCTATAATAATTCACATGACACTCTTTGAAGAATTTGTCAAGAATAAATCTTTTTCTTTTTTAATTTATCCTTCTGCATGCCTGGAAGAAAGGTTCACTATTGATCTCATTTTCTACATTAAAGGCAACTGAGAAGTTAAATGGCATTAAACAGGCAAAGCAAATCATCAATACATTGTGGGCTGACATTAAAAACAAAACAACTTCCTCCTACAAAGGCATGTCTGTGGTTCCCTATCTTTGGACACGTAAGAACTGGAGGCAAAGAAATGGGGACCTGGAGAAGTTTGGGGCGAGTTGTTTTCTGCAGGCTCAAGATCAACCATCCCACATAGAGGGGGGAAGAAAAAAAAATACTGGCAGCCCTAACTAGTGTGGCTCAATTGGTTGAGTGTTATCCTGCAAAGCAAAAGGTCACTGGTTCCCAGTTAGGGCACATGCCTGGGTTGCAGGCCCACTCCCCAGCTGGGGTACATTCGAGAGGCAACCAATTGATGTTTCTTGCCCTCTTTCTCCCCCAACCTACCCCCCGCTCTAATTAATTAATTAATTAATTAATTAATATCTTTTTAAAAGCTACTGGCAGGCAAATATTTAAGAGGTGGGTTTTAGGTTTTCTTAGTGATTCAGATCATTTCCCAGGCCAAGTCAAAAGCTTCATTCTGTCTAGGAAATCCATCCCTGAGAAAGATTCTAGTCTACCCAGAGTAGATCCAAATCCACAGAACCGTATGAGTTTTCCCAGAGTTTCTCTAAATTAAATCCCAAGATAACACAAATCACAGTTTAGCATCTGTATACTTGGTACAAAATTTATATTCCTAAGACATGATAAAATCACAAGTGTATTAATTAAGTTTGGAAATACAAGATATGATTAATCAACCTGGATTCTATGTCTTATCAAGGATCCCGACATTTTAAATAAACTTAAGACCCAAGCCACAATCCCAAATATCCCACTGAGTTTTTTTGCATTTCAAAATACAAACAAGAACTTGTTTCTTACCACTGCCACTCCAGGGGAGAGTTGGGATGCCTGCAGTTTGAGCCACTATGGAAGATGCAATCTTATCCCCCAGAGCCCACATGGCCTGGCTTGGTGGACCTAAAAACAAAACAACATTTTGGCCTCATTTCTGTCACATATATTTTGTCTTCCATGTAATTATTTTTGTATTTTTCTTGTCTCCCCTACAAGTCACGGCGATCATAAACTTGATTATGGGGATTACTATGTTTAACTCATCTTTGTATCCTTTATAGAACCTAATGTAGTAGGCTTTTAGTACATAGTAAGAGTTCAGTATATACAAATACAAGCTAAAATAAATTCCTCACAAATCTCTCATTTTGTCATCCTTCATGTTCAACTTTATCAAGTTAACAGTCATTTTTTTAACCAATATCCTAAACTAAGGGCTATAAAGTTTTGGAGTTCAAGTCTGAAATAAAAACATTATACCTTCCTTGGCCTTAGGGGAGCCAAAAAGGAAGATTTAACTTCAATAGTGTTTACAAAGCATAATCATCATTGTGGAAGGTCTCTGAGACAGAGATAGAAACACTTTGAGCCAAGTGACCTCTGTTTCTCTCTCTGCTGTAGGAGAGCAGAAAAGACAGAAGACAAAGCTCTCACAGGAACATAACCTATATGCTTAAATGTGAAGGTGTTGACTCACATATAAGGACACACTGCCAAGGTATCCTAAGTATTCAATTATGTTTGCTACATAAAAATGTTTTCCACATGTTTTCTTAGGTTAATGGCAAAGTTTTTAAAAGCCAGTATTTTGGAAACCAGAGCCTCTTCCATATTTCATGGAAAAGAACCTAGGGACAGAAAACACAATCCAGGTGTAGACACATAAGCAGGGCATAAGAAATGAGGAAGGGAAAAAAAATAATAAAGATGTTATTCTGGGTTGGTGACTGATGGAAATGAGAGAATGTTAAACAGAAGAAAAGCAGAATATAGAATGGAATATGGGCAAAATTGACAGAGAAACAGGAAGACAGGAACAGTATGCCAGAAAGGCTTACCCATGAAGGCGATGCCATTTTTCAAAAGAAGTTCTGGGAGCTTGGGATTCTCAGAAGCATGACCCCAGCCAGCCCACACTGCCTACAAGGGAACACAATATGGTTCATTGTTAAAATTCTTATTTTTTTAGGGAGGGAATTTCAGGGGAAAAGGGGAAGGGTTTACAGGAACAAGTATAAAGGACACATGGACAAAAATGAGGGGTGAGGGTGGAAATGGGAAGGAAGTGGGGAGGGCTGGGGGGCGGGCTGGGGTGGGAGTAAAAGACAGAAAACTGTACTTGAACAACAATTAAAATAAAATTTAAAAAACCAAATAAATAAAATAAAATAATAAAATAAATAAAATAAAATAAATAAAATAAAATAAAATAAAATAAAATAAAATAAAATAAAATAAAATAAAAACCACAATAAACTGTATTGTTCTCTACCAAGACTGGACCCTACCCCATGAGGTACAATAGCTCCACAGCAGCCCAGAATTTAATTCAGCTGCTATGCATAATTCTTGGCAAGCTCTTTACAAAACAGTAAACAGTCTATTGCGGCAAAACCTCTGAAGAGGTCAAAACGAAGTTTAAATTGATATTCAGGTCCAGCTACTCTTATTGCTCTTTAGGAAACTCAACTCATAGCCTTTCAATGAGACTCTATAGAGCCTTTTCTAGAAATACTGGTTTTCTTTCAGGTTCAATTACTTTGGCCACACAACTCAACCTTTATATGTAGTGGTTGAACTGCTATACAAATCAAACTTTTTATTTTTGGGCTTTAAGACACTTTTCAAGTTATTGGGAAGAAATGACCTACTTCTACACCACCATATTCTAGACTAAGGAAATAGGTAACTTTTATTTACTCTAGATGGTTTGAAGGTGAAACAGGTAGAATAATCTCTAAAAAACCCTTTACAAACCTCCTGTTTATATTGTTTACTTGATTTTGACTAAATATATCTTCCCATCTTTCCTTGTCTGTTATATTCCACATAAAGGCATTTGTCAATTTCAACAAAGATCCCTTCTATAAAATTAAAACTTCTTCTTTGGATATCCCTTACACCTAACTGTAAAATGGCTAAATACGTTGGAGTCTTTTCTCTGTGACCACGTGCAGGTTTTTATGTTTATTAAAACAGTGAAGCACTGCAAACCACGAGCTGCAGTAGTTTTCTTTGGCAAGTATAAATATTAGTTCATATATGAACCATAGTGTTGAAGTTCAATATCTTTAAAGTGAAAACTTACTCTGTTTTTCCCTTCTGTCAAATTAAAAAATTTTCAATTACAGTTGACAAACAATATTATATTAGTTTCAGTGTACAACATAGTGATTACACATTTATATAACTTATGGAGTGATCACCTGATAAGTCTAGGACCCATCTGACACCACACACAGTTATCACGGTACTACTGGCTATATTCCCTACGCTGTACTTCATATCCCTATGACTGTTTTTATAATTGGTAGTTTGTAAATCTTAATCCCTTCTCCTTCTTCACACATCTCCAACCCTCCTCCCATCTGGCAACCATCAAAATGTTCTCTGTATCTGTGTGTTTGTTTCAGTTTTATTTGTTTTTTTAGGTTCCACATATAAGTGAAATCATATGGTATTTGTCTTTCTCTGTCTGAGCTATTTCACTTAGTGTAATACCCTCTAGGTCCATCCACATTGTCACAAATGGCAAAATTTCATTCTTTTTTGATAGCTCAGTAATATTCTATAATATATATGTACCACATCTTCTTACCCATTCAGCTATTAAAGGACACAGGTTGCTTCCATATCTTGGCTATTGTAAATGATGCTGCAATGAACACATAAATTTGGTTTTAAAGGACACATTGGCATCTCTTACTTGTACTGGGATCCTTTTAGCAATATCAAGAATTAATTCCACATTTGCATAGTTGTTGTTGTTTGGTCCTCCTGGCACTGGCACATAGTGATCTGCCATCTTAATGTACTCTGAAAGTGCAAGCAAAATAATAAAGAACACATACTTTATTTTCTGAGATATAACAGCAGAGCAAAATTACATAAAGGCCCATCATAAGTAACCACAGCACAAACTGCATTAATGGGGTAATTTGAAGGCCCTGACTTTATTAAGTCGCAGGCACTAATATGCGCTAATCTCATATTTAGGAAGCTCTTATACTAAAACAGCAGTTCTCAAACATTTCACTATGTGACCTTTCTGAAGGGTCTTTGTTATCCCTGTATCAAAAATAATGTGTCTGTCACTTAGAGGCCTATGTACGATTATTCTATTCTGGGAAAAGACTCTGGTCCTGACATCCTTTATCTTTACCTTGCACTGTATTCTGAGAAAGCCTTTTCCTGATGCAGAGCTAAGACAGAATGGGGACAGAGTGGGGGTCCAGAGGGTTTGTAGACCGGCTAAACAGGAAGTTGAGACACAGGAGTCTCCTAGATGTTTGAAAAGGGTTTACTTGGAATGTTGGGAATAATAGGTATTTGAAAGAAACTTTAAAAAGATACCTTCTTTCCCCTTCCCTCACTTTTTTTTCCTCAGTATTCCCATTCAAATTTGTCACCTGATGTCTCTCTCTTCTGTTCTGACAACAACTGTAGCAGAGCAGCTACAATGTGTAGAAACTGCACTAGTAAGTACTTTATATATACCTTATTTCATTTAACACTCAACAGTCCTATATATGATAGGTATTATGAGCACCAAGTTTGTAGGAAATTATGGCTTCCAGTAGTTCAATAACTTGTTCAAGGTCCATCTCCTTCATATATATTAACATTTCTTACATCTTGTTCTTAACTTTTAAAGGCTTTAAGTCCTTCCAAAAGAAAATTCTACTCACAGTAAAATATAAGACCCTATATTTGTTCAAAATAAAAATAGGTTTATTGTTCTCTTTGATTATAAAAGGGAAAGCATGCTAATTATTAAAAAATTTAAATAATATACCAGGATATAATAACACTATTTTTTAAAAGTCAAAATCACCCATTGCCTGCCACTCAGAGATAATCAGTTCATGTTTTAATATCCTAGAAACCATAAATTGTTAACCAATTTAACAATATAGTGTGGCTCTCTTCTCACATTATGACATAGATACTTAGAGTTTTACAGATTATCTATATATAATATGATACAATAGAAATATTATTTATCTCCAATTAATATTAATATACGAATATGTTAATGGTTGACTAATGTTTTCATAGTCCATAATTCATTTAACCACTAACTTACTGGTGGACACATAGGTTATTAATAATTTGGAAAAATATTAAATCAATATAATGATGAATATCCTTATACTATTGTTGAATTGTACCCTTAGGATATGTTCATAGAAGTAAAACTACTGGATCAAATGGTATGCACATTTTCAATGACTGAACCAGTTTAGACTCTCACCAGCAATATGAATACCAAATTGCCTATACTCTCATCTATATTACATGTCACCAATCTTTTAAATTTTGCCTGTCTTATAAATGAAAAAAAAATCCCAATCTACTATTGATTTGGTTTGCATTTCTTTGACTGCCACTGGTATCAAATCTATTTTCATTTGCTTATTGTTCCTTTTTAAGTTTTCCTTTATGGACCACCTATTTGTGTTTTTTGTTCATTTTCTATTGAAGGGTGCTTTTTTCTCATTTTCAAAGGTAGAAACTCTTTGCTGCTAATACGTTTTTCCAGGTTACCATTTGTCTTTAACTTTTCCTCATTCTCTTTTTATTTGCTAAATAGAAATTTTTATTCTTATGTAATCAAATCTAACATTTCTGTAGTTCTGTGGCCCTAGATATGGGAAAAAAAGTTACTTTAGCTGCCAACCTATATCCTACACACACACACACACACACACACACACACACAGTGTCTATAAGGTACTGCTGTCTGAACCAACAACAGTTCAGAATTCTACACAACCAATCCTCTACATTCACTATTGTAGACACTAAAGAGAAGGGAAGGCTTGAAAAGTAGAAAAGAAAGCTTTCTAATTATGTAGCTTGCATTTCTCTGTCATCTCCAAGTTCCCACAGTTCCCACAACTACCACGACACTATTCTAGAGTATATTCACAAATAAATAAGAAAACTACCCTTAAAAGAGACTATGCAATTAAATACTAAGGATTTCACTAATCATCCTCCTCTCCAACTTTTCCAATAACTACCATGAAATAAAAATATGCAATTGGCCCATTATTACCATTCTCATCATCCCTTCACCTACCAATTTTGCCTGTTCCCCTCTAGTCTCAGAACAGGAAGCCCTCTTCCTCTTAATAAGCAACTTTTCTATCTAAGGTTCCTTTTTTCATAATTATTTAAATTGGTAAAATACTTAATGTTTACACTGGATTGCAAGGATGACTGCACAATGGTATGAATTTACTAAAACTCATAGAACAGTATATTTTTAAAGGGGTGACTTTTATGGTATATAAATTATACTCAATAGAGACATTAAAATAATTAACATAAAACAAAGTTTAGAACAAAATGAAAAAATAAAAATCATCCAAGATACTAATTCCTTAATTCAATACCACTGTTATCAATATTATAATCCTCTCTAGGGTTCTATTTTTTAAATAACTTTTAAAGAAAGTATACATTTATATAAACTCTAAGTTAAAAGGCTATAAAAAAAGCAGAGACACAAATAAAAATAAAAAGACCCCAAAATTCCACCCCCATAGATAACTAGTATTGCTGTTTTGTATACATCATTATACCTTTGTTTTCTGACTCTACACAATGTGCTTTTTTCCTTATTCTTATATCTGGCTATTGATCTCCTTATGGCCAATGTTTTTCTTAGAAATTGTGATGAACAGACACTAAGGTGCCTGTCCTCATGATACCCTTCTCCAGATATCCATACTTTAAGTAATCCCCTCTCCTTGGGTGTGACTAGTTTCTGGACAAGAAAATACAGCAAATTAAGGAGATGTCATTTCTGTGATAACATTACATAGGAATCTAACTGATCTTAATACTTTCCCTTGCAGGCGCTGGGGTAAAAGGCAGTCATTTTGGAATGGCCCACGTGACAAGGAGCTGAGCATAGTCTCTGGTCAACAACCAGTTAAACATTCAGGCCCCTGGTCTGAGATCCCACAGAAAACTGAATGCTGCCAACAACCATGGAGCTTGAAAGCACATCCATCTAAACTTGAGCCTCAGATGAGACAGCAGCCCCAATGAGAACTGACTGCAGCTTTGTGATAACATGAAGCCAAAGACCCAGCTAGGCTGTGCCATGACCTACGGAAACTGTGAGATAATAAATGTCTGTTGTTTCAAGCTTCTAACTTTGTGGTAATACTGGTATACAGTAATAGATAAATAATATAGCAATTTCTATCTGTACTTTAAATAAGATGACATTAATAACCATTACTTCTTAGGCTTAGTCTTAACATCATTGTGTCAATATAGAGAGAATATATACAAACCAAAACAAGTTTTAAAAGATAGCTCTTTAAAAAGTTAACGTTGCCCTGGCTGGTGTGGCTCAGTGGACTGAGCGCCAGCCTGCAAACAGAAAGGTCACTGGTCCAAATCCACATGCCTGCATTACAGGCCAGGTCCCCAGCTGGGGACATGCGAGAGGCAACTGTTCAATGTACCTTGCATCTCTCTCACATAGATGTTTCTGTCCCTCTCTCCCTCCCTTCCCTCTCTCTAAAAATAAATAAATATTTTTAAAAATTTTTTAAATAAAAATAAATGAAAAGCTAATGTTATCTGTGGGTACTCTACCTTAGAGATTATGCTTTAGTGATAAAAAGTATGGAGAGGAAAGCCACGACCTTTCAGCTATCCCGAAAGTCTTTATCTACACTCTCAGCTGGAGGACCCACTGAGCAGAGAGAACATGCAGAAGAGCTTGCAGAGTGAAACCCACTTGGGTCCCAAGAGGTCTCTCCCTCAGGAAAAGGGGGAAAAATGCACTCTGGTTCATAAGGGAAACAGCATTTCCTTCCAAACCTTTCCACTTACATATGCTAAAGTACGTGGCTTAGCAAATACTTGACACTTGAAAGGCATACACCTGAAAAACCAAATCAACACTTTTTTTTTAAAGATTTTATTTATTTATTTTTAGAGAGGGAAGGGAGGGAGATAGAGAGAGAGAGAAACATCAATGTGTGGTTGCTGGGGGTCATGGCCTGCAACCCAGGCATGTACCCTGACTGGGAATCGAACCTGCGACACTTTGGTTCACAGCCTGCACTTTGGTGCACTGAGCTACGCCAGCCAGGGCTCAAATCAACACTTTTTGTTAAATTCCTACCTATCTTTACTAAGAACACAGGAGTCTGTGTTGAGGTTAAATATGGCACAATCACTTATGCATATTATTAAGACTTTTTAAATATTATTTTTATTTACTGATTTCAGAGAGACAGAGAGACATTGATTTGTTGTTCCATTATTTATGCATTCATTGGATGACTCTTGTATGTGTCCTAACTGGGCATCAAACCCACAACTTTGGTGTATCAGGACAATGCTCTAACCAACTGAGCTACCTGGCCAGGGCATTTATTATCACTTTTTAAAAGAGAAACCCTCTTAAAAGGATTTCACAGGAAAGCTATCAGTTTGGGAATTCCCCTAAGTTACTATTCTCCTACTTAAAGGCTGAGCTATTCAGTGTTTTATAGTCAAGAGTGATGCTTTCTTTTTTTTTTTAAGATTTTATTTATTTATATTTATTTTTAGAGAGGGAAGGGAGGGAACTAGAGAGAGAGAGAAACATCAATGTGCGGTTGCTGAGGGTTCTGGCCTGCAACCCAGGAATGTACCCTGGCTCGGAATCGAACCTGGGACACTTTGGTTCGCAGCCCGCGCTCAATCCACTGAGCTACGCCAGCCAGGGCTAAGAGTGATGCTTTCTTAATGGTAATAACTCACCTGCATTGGCTTTAAGATCCTCAGGTGTGACCATGACAACAAATCGGATTGCACGTTCATTTCGAAACATCTCATAAGACCACCGACGGATAGACCGCATGCATTTCACTGCTGCAATGCCATTGTTGGCAATAAGAACCTGGGAGAGTGGGGGGATGGGAATTGGAGAGAAAAGTAGAAAAAGCAAGCAATGATAGAGGAAAAGAAGAGAGAAAATTTTTGTAGATCTATCTTTCTCTGAAAAGCCAGATTTTCCATAGGAATTTGTATTCCTAGTCTAGGCAGTTAGAAACTAGCTCCCACATGATCAAAGAATACTTTAAAATGTTAGCTAAGGAAATAATACTTCATACATGCCCACTCAACCTTACTCCTTTCTAACTTTGTTTCTTGAAGAAAAAAAAGCACAGCTACTCAAATCTTGTGAGTTTTTTAATTATTCTACCATATCAATCACTAGGAAACAGAAGACAAACTCAGAGAGATGATGGATTATCAGATAAGGAGTGGAGGAAGACTCAACAGAGCAGTGTTGTGCTCCATTCTCCACTGTAGTAAAACAAGGCGCAGGACCCTGAACGTGTGGAAGGACCCTGCACCAACCACCACCTCTCTCCAAAATGCTGAACCCCAAATGCCTTAGACTTGTAGAGACTGCCTCAGAAAGAATGGTCACAAGAAAAAGAGTAATCAATGACTCTGAGACTACTCTGCAGACAAACCTTTCATCTCTCTACCTGTCTTGCAATCATGTCTCCCAGGATAACAACACAGCCTAGGAGACATATAATCTACCTTTATTGGAGGACTAACAGAAAGAAATGGCTGAAGCAATAGTTTTAGGGGTGGGAATGTAGGTCTAAATCCTTTCATCTTTTAATCACTGTCAACTGTTTCAACCAAGCTGTCCTTTCAGCTCTGACATGGTTTAGATAAAAGTGACAAGAGAGTTACTCGTAATGTTTAAAAATACTTCAAATCTCTTCAAGTATTTCATGTAGTATGTTCCCTCTAAACATCTTGAATACTTGGTGGAAGTCAGTAAGTCACGTGTATCAAACTGTTTAAACTTTCTGTTCTGACGCTCTCTACTACCTCAGCTCTAAATCTAATGCCACAATATTACCTCCATACCACCGCCCCCATGAGCTCAATTTCTCAGAGCCTCTCAGATCAGTGCAGCCCAACCCTGCAAAACCACAAGAGCTCTTAAAAAGAACTTGATGAGCACTGCTTCAACATCTTCATTAGCTGTGACTAAATTATCAGTGGTTAATACACATTATAAAAAATAGTAAAATCATTTAATAGGATGCTAGGGGAAATAGGATAATTTCACATAAAAAGGAAAAGTTTCTGAAAGTCTAAATATCAGTTTTGAGCAAATCTAGACAATAAATTGAGGCATTAATCTCATGTACTTAGGAAAAAAATTCAGCAGGTTATAACTTACCTTCTCAATCACTTTATTCCCCCCAAAACGAGTAACGAATTCTGCTGGAGAAGCTACAGTGAAATCTCTCTGTGAGTCTATTTTCTTTCGGTCTCGACCTTGCTTTACTAGGTGCAAGCCAGACATGCTGGACCTATAAAAACAGAGAAACCATGAAAAGTATATCAATAGGATTTCTTCATGCCATCTATCTCCCCTAGAGACCTGCTTTTCATTGCTATAACGGCACTTTCAACTGCACTCTTATATAGACTGCATGCTGACAGACCACATACTTTTTTAAGTAAAAGAAAGGGGGGGAAATGTTTGCTTGCAGAAATTTAGGGAAAAAAATAACTGTCCCTGAATAATAACAAATAATATTAAAAGACAGGGAAAGGTTGGAATGAAATGAGATGGTATAAATAATAGACTCAGCTGTTAAAGCTGAACACACGATAAGCAAGGCTGTTTCTGGATCATGATTCTGGCATATGGATGACCTTCACCTCTGTATTGCTACCCTCCATCTTTCTTATTAGCTATTAACTGCCTACCAAATGTTTTACTTGAGTATCCCATAGGTGTTGCAAAATCAGTAACTCCAAAACCAAATTCTTTACAAGGCAGCATAATATACCATATTTCGTTGATTTTAAAATGCCCTACAATAATTTTTTTAAAAGTCTCTGAATTTGGCTTCTATAGTACAACTGATTGTACTGTTTATTTAATTGGCAGTACTTTTTTCCCCTCAGTGGTGCAGACCATATTGGTACCTCTAACAATCAATGGTGTTTAGATTAGATGAAATATAGTTCTTGAAACAGCACAAACCTGGGTTTAAATTCCTGATCTGTCTACTTAATAGCTCCAATGAGCTTTAGCAAATAATTTAACCTTGCTCAGCTTCAGTTTTCTCTTTGTAAAATACACACAGTATTTACTGTTCTAGATATTTATCTATTGTCTCTCAACTCCAAGCCCACTCTTGTATGCTCTGCTCTGTGAAAATAGGGTTAAGCCTCTGCAAAACTGTTCAGTTCTGCCAATGGAAAGGCAGAGGGGTTTAAAAAAAAAAGAGAGAGAGAGACTTCTTTTGTGCTTTCCAGCTATTACCAGTATTGTTCCACAGGAACAGAGAGTTAATGCTAGCTTCTAGCATCTTCTGACATTCCTAGGAGGAATCCTGATGCAGGTTGTGGCTCCTTGGCAGGCAGTAAGGCCTAGTCATGCTCACTCCTTCTCTGGCTACTCTCCCTGGGCCTAAACCACCTGTCAGGCCAGGTTTCCTCCTCAGGGATCTGAGTACCAGTTTCTTAAAGCTTATTCAAAGTGGTCCAAGCACCAGCCCCCAAGGCCCTCCTCCAAGTTCTCACCTCTTCCGTTTTGTCCTCCCAGGCCTAGGGGTGGCAACTGCTTTCTAAAGGTATTAAGTCTGGGTTACCTCAACATCCCATTTTTGTTCTTTTATTCTTCTAACATGCAAGTAATCAATTCTCACTATTGAATGTCCTGTTCATCATAATGACTAATGCAGTTTCTCTTTCCTTGACTGGACCTTGACAGACCCTCTGAGTGGGTATTTTGAAGATTAAATGAGATAATGGACATAAATAAGGTCTTTCATACACTGTTTGATAGACAGCTATTTTCTTCTATTTTTATCTTTTCTTTCTTTCTCCTGCACTCTAACCTTGATACTGCAGTAATTTAACTTTTCAAAATAGAAGAACATGATTAAAATCATCCCACAAAGAAAATATCAGGTCCAGCCCTGACCAGTGTGGCTCAGTGGGCTGGGTATTGTCCCATAAAGCGAAAGGTTGCTGGTTTGAATCCTAGTCAGGGCACATACCTGGTTGCGGGTTTGGTCCCCAGATGGGGCATGTATGAGAGGCAGCCAATCAATGTTTCTCTCTCACATTGATGTTTCTCTTCCTCTCCCCCCTACCCCCCTCTAAAGATAAATAAAATCTTAAAAAATAAAAATTAAAAAAAAAGGAAATACCAGGTCCAGATGGTTTTAAAAGGCAAATTCTATCAAACGTTCAAGTGCAGTAGTCTACCAGACTTCCAGACCACAGAAAAAGAAATAAAACTCCCCAGCTAGAGAACACTGATGTAAAACCAGACAAAGATGTTATATGAAGGTAAAAATTAAGGTCCATTTTATTCTTGACTACAAATGCAAAAAAACAAAATAATCTAAATAGTAGGGTATCAGTGTAAGGATGAGCAACTATTAGTAAAAAATATGTTACTCCATGACCAAATTGAGTTTGTCCCAGGTAGGTATACAAAGATGGTAATTTTATTATTTTATTTTTTAAAAAGCCTTTCTTTTATTTTATTAAGATTTTATTTATTTATTTTTAGAGTGAGGGGAAGAGAATGAGAAAGAGGAGGAGAGAACTATCAATGTGTGGTTGCTTCTTGTGCACCCCCTACTGGGGAACTGGCCTGCAACCCAGGCATGTGCCTGACTGGGCATCAAACTGACGACCCTCTGGTTCGCAGCCCATGCTCAATCCACTGAGCTATAACAGCCAGGGTGAAAGATGGTTTAATTTTAGAAAATCCATAGAGTGTAAACAACTGTTTTAGATTTCCTAACAAGTGCAATAAAATGGATTTAAAAAATTAGAGGCATTAGGATTGCAAAGGAGGAACTGTCATTTGGGAATGATATGATCATTTACATGGAAAACACAGAAGATTCTGCAAAGTATTAGAAATAACAGACCTTAGTCAAGTGTCTAGATATACAATTAATATACAAGAAGTCCAAATATATTATAGACTATACACAGATTATAAAATTAAAAACAAATCATGAAGTTAAAAAACAACTAAAATACACACACTCTTATTAAGAGATACATAAGATACACTAAAACTATATAAACAGGAAAACAAAAGAATGTGATAAATATGTGATTAAGAACATTGATTATCTGGGTGGGGGAGGCAGGGAAAAGGGTCAAGAAGAGACCATATAATTAAATGTAGGTGATGGCCAAGAACCTACCTTTGTTTTAAGGTGGTAGGTTTCAAATTCTTTCTATATTATATTTTTTAAATAACTAAATAACTAACCAAATAAATAAATAATAGTGGGCCACACATGGACCAACGAGTGTGCCATGAACCAATGGTTATATAATTCCATACAGCTGAAGTTAAACGCACACATGTTCCTCAAAGGTCAGCTTTTTGTTATTTACGGAGGGACAGAAGAAATAGAGGAGATATAAACCTACAGTTAGTAAGGACTTGCTTGAGTATAAGACAAAAAGGGAAGCTTAATCTATACTGATGAAATTAAGGTGGAAAAAGAATTGATTGTAAGATTTAATCAATAGTTTGGAAATACAATGGATCTCAAAATCTTCACCTCTCACTTACCTTTTATTGAGAAGCTATTAAAGAATGTTGTCTTCTACAAGGATGGAGTAAGCCAAGAAGAAGACAAGGGATGCAAGAAACAGAGGAGCCAACACAGATGAGAAGGGAATTCCCCAGATGACTGCTCAAAATGGACAACAGACTGCTTCTTGGAAAAATGGACAGATCACCCATTGTGTTTAACCACAGAAAAACAAAATAAAACTCTGAGTGTGTGTATAATATATATGAAAATATATGGGTATGTTTTCTTTATATACATACATATAAGGCTTGTTTTACATATATAAAATAAAACAATGTTATGCATATGTATGTTATATATACATATATAAATCATTCTGATTATATATAATTATATATCATATATGATATATATGTAAAATCAGTTGCTTTTTACTTATTTGACTCTTAGTGAAGTTTCACTTGGTTTTCCCTCAAAAGGGTAGAAGAGGCAAATGAAAAGAAAAAGGATGGTTGTTCTAGAGACTAATTTTACCAACTCAGTGTTTTTTGCATGTTTTTTGTTTTTGCCAAAATCCAGTTTAATTTTCATGTAACTTAAAAAATAAAACCCTTTCAAGATTGCAAAAACAAGCAAACAAACATAGAAGAAAATAGAGGGACCCTGAGGCACTGTTATGAAGCATATCATTCAGGTCTTTTATGTTCCCCTCTGCTGAAGGGGAACAGACCGGCAAGAGGCCTGAAGAAGGCCAAGAAGCCTGGCTCATTTCCTCCTCTGCCTGAGTTCTCAGCAGGAAGAAGGAAGATACCAGGGCAAGTGAGCTTGGCACCCTTAACACTCCAGTCTGGCTGCACAAGGTCATGTGTCAGGACAATTGCAGCAAGTACCTTTTGCAGTCCCAGAGACACATTCTAAAAAAGTTTTAAACTACCCTCCACAGGGATGCTACGTCCTACACAGAAGTGATGTCTACCTTCACGAGAGCTGAAGAGACTTTACTCTTGAAAAACCAGCCAAATCCAGTGAGCAAATATGGCACAGACTGCGCGCGATCCCTTAATGAAATAACAGCACAGCAAGATCTGCACAGGGGTGCTTGTTTTCAACATAACTACAACTATCACACATGGACGCAGGTACCTTTGGTTCAAATTCTGAATGTTAAAAAACGTTTGAGAAATCCAGAATCAAATATGAGAATTTTTATTCATTTCCTTGAAAAAATTTTTCTTGAGATACAAAAAATCATCAAATCAAATTTGCCATAAATTCTAGAGCTTAACTGCAATGCCCTACTGTTTTTTAAAAGTATATATTGCCTAAATGTGGCACCCTAAAACTTACCTTTGAAGCATGTAATATCTCATCTCCTTATTTTCCTCTGCAGAACCCTGCATATCACGATGACAAAGGAATGGAAGCTTTTTCTTCAGATTTCAGCCTTGTAAACACAAGCCGCAGCTCGTCCTCCTATTGCAGGTGCTTAAAACCCAGGAGGACAGGAGATACTGTGCCTTCTGCTTACTTCTTGGCCCTGCTTCAGTCACACTAGAGTATTCCTGATGGCCTCAAACTACAGTCTTTCTGTCCACTTTGTCCCCAATTTCCATACTTCCTCACTTTTCCTCCTTTGTTAAATATTTCCCTATACTTGGCTAACACCTAGAGTTAGCTGCTTTCCCAAAAGGATTGAGAGGAGAGGGGGAGACATATAAAAGCTTGTAAAACTAGAAAAGAAATCTTAGTGTTCTGCATTAGCCACAGCAAACATGTTTCAA